ATATATATATATATAGGTATATGTGTGCGTTCCCCGCGACCCACTACATAGCGTACTCAATTCGTCGTACACAAAATTGTCAGGTTAGGAAGAGGAGCCCAATCTTTGTGTATCATAGAGTTGTTTTGTGTTCATTGTCTGCTTTTATCCAGAAACTAGGGTTAAAAGGTATGCTACAAAACCTATGCAGTGCGAAAATTAATCTAAGCAAAGCAATCAAAATATTGAGCCTATGTTTAACATATATGTTCGTTGGTTGTGACTTTAACCATCATTCAGTGCAAACCATATTGCAAACCATAAACAACCCGTGAGATGTGTGTTTCATGTAACTATAAATTCTTTTTAGCTTGATTTCACGTTTGAGGCTACATTCCCTCACTTCTTTGCTAGTGGATTATCATATTAGTTTGGGTTGGGAATGGGGGGATCTCTGTGAGCTCTATGGTGGGCAAAAGTGAACTTGAGTCTATCAAATCAAACTATATCTAAGGTTAGGTTTTTTGTATGGGTTAGGTGAAGCAACTTGTGCCGGTGCACCAACGGCCCAACGTTGCTCCCTGTGATGAGGGAATGTAGCCTCAAGACCTGAGTTGATGAGGGATGTGGCATCGTCTTCTAAGGGGGCTTTTTTATGTTAATTGATGGAATGCATTTTTTTATTCTTTTACTCCAAGTGAGAATTGAATCATGCTCTTATTGCCACAATTTTCTCTTACTTTGAGATGATCTTTGTAGCTCTTTATTTCATTTCAGATGTAACAATTTTCCAAGTAGCCTTTATATGTTCTACCTTCCTGCTAGACTATAAAGGATTGTTTAAGAAACAAAAATTAATCATTATTTTTATAACTTTAAAATTACCAACCATCCTTCCTAATGATCCATGGATTAAAAAAATGTTAAAATTTCTGTAACTGTGACAGTTTCTGTTGCCATTTTTGTTTCTGTTGCCATTTTTGTTTCTGTTGCCATTTTTGTTTCTGTTGCTATTTCAGTTTCCCTCCCTGCTTCTGTATCTACTTTTCCTTCTATTACAGATTCTATTCATTACTGTTTTTGCCACTACTTTTGTTATAATTTGATTTCTTAAACTATCACTGCTGCATTTTTGTTGCTCTTTTTTTTTGCTATTTGCATATTGGGTTTTTGTTGGTATTATCCTCCTCTGTATCAAGTTGTTTCTTTCTGGTGACTGATTCGGTTTCCTGTTTCTGTCTTTCTGTTGGTTTTTTTTCGGCACATATGGTCGTTAGCTTTTTCATGTTTTCTTACATTATTAAAAGCTGTTTTCTCAATAGCTTCTAGAACTCTTACTCTCCTTTGATTGTATTTAAGGCAGTAATAATTGGAAAGATTAGCTTTTCTTTTTAGAGCTAAAGCTTTACTTCTTTGTATTCATTGCTCTTAACAGGCGGATTTAGAGAAATATTTGTCTGAGTCCCAAGGTAAGGATAAGGTTTATGTTTATGAATTGAGCAACGTTGATTTTTATATTTTTGGGCTATCTATGGGGTTTCCCTTCAGTTATTAAAGCTAGGTTTCCAGATTCCCTTTAGACACAAATACAGTTTTAAAACTTTGCTTCTTCTGTAATTTCCTTTTAATTGTCAGACACTCGCTTTTTCTCTTTACCCTCCTTTTCTTCCTTTGATGTATAGAGGTTGGTTTTGACCCTTTGTTTTGTTCGCATGTCAAAGTTGAAATAAAGTCGGATCATTTGTAAATTGAAGATAAATTTGTTTTTTTGCTTCTGCGGAAACCAGGCATAGGCCACCTTTGCCAGCAAAGACAATGCAATGCACATCGTCTCAAAATAAAAATAGTCATAGCTCCTTGCTCCAATTAGATTTGAAGAAGTTAACGAAATCAATAATTTTATCTTCAATAAAAAATTTTGTCTTTATTTCGACTCTAAATAATCTAAATAGCTGTGTGGATAGAGAGAATAATATTGCTGATGAGGTAATTCTGTCCGTATCTGAAGTTGCAAAGCGTTTGAGGCTAAATGTGCAGAATTGTTGCCATTTTCGTCGCCAATCAATAGTTGGCTATGGTGCAGCAATTTGGAAATATTTCATTATTTCCGTTTTCTATATGCTGTTCGGAATGAGTTTCATCCCTGTTTCAAAACAGAATTTCACCTTTCTACTTCATTCACTTACAATGCACAAAACTTCAATTTGCGCGTTCAAGGATTGTCAATCCTGGACTGATGTCATTTTCAGCTGAGTTTGTAATTTTTTTGTAATCTGTTGTGTTTCGAGCAACTAAGAAATAGTTTCTCGATTTGGGTGTTATTGAATATGAATATAGAGGGCCAGAAAGAACGAGAAGGGGGTGAAAGAAGCATTTGAGATTTTGAAGAGGTTCCGACAAATTTTTCATACTTTTGTCTTTTTAGGTTATTACAGTAAATTAATTGATTATATTCCAGATACAACCATTTCCAAATTTATTATGGAAAATGACTTGAGTGTCAACCGGGACGTGACGATTCTTTTGGTATTAGCGACTGATACAGAGCAGACAAGTCATTGCAAAAAGCCTAAAAGCACCCATTCATACACCATGTAATATATTCTAATGATAATAGTTAACCCTCAGGAAGAACGCTCATATTTCAGTGGTGAGTATGGGGTGAGTATGATATTGCGAACTACGAACTACAAAAAAAACGGCGCAAACAACTTGACTGATGGGAACAAAGTTTATTGTCCTATTGAATTAAAACACAAAATATGACATACCATATATATACCTTTGTATCCAAACACTTTAAATATTTTCTCAATCTCCTATTTGCTCATTTTCTCACCTTTGTGACAAATAATCGATTTTGAAAATCAACTACCATTATTCAAAGATAGAAAGTAACCTATTTAGGCAAAATACCACCCTGAAACATTGGGTTGATATGGCCTTCAAATTTTTCAAAACGGTTCAAACATATTAAAGGCTCTTGCGCAACCGACCCCTGTGCTACTATAATTCTAAGAACCGGCCTAATGTCGTACTGCATGAAAATACAAAACATTGTCAATTTCTCAAGACAACTGCCGCTAAGCAGGCCGGTTGCGCAAGAGCCTTTAAGCTCAAAGCACCATCTTTAGACCCTGTTTACACTGTACCGGATAAATTTTATCCGTATCAAAATTAGTTCAGATAGGCGTCGTGTTTACATTAAATAGACCTACGCTATCCGCACGAATTTGAGAGCGGCTATCCGAACAAAATTAATTCACCTAGGAAAGTGGATTAAATTAGTTCGGATAGCTATGTGGTATAGTGTAAACACTTTTATCCGGATAAATTTTATCCACATCGTATCTTGCTCGAAAGCGATTGGCTTTTTCTTCCTATTTAGTTTTCACTGTCTCCCAATCAAGACCTTTCGCCATCTTGGCTGCCTTGTTGTCGATAGATATTCGTGTTAAAAGTGCAGGCTCTTGCCAGTCCACGTAAAATTTGCATCCTTGTCAGCTTTCCCTACTTTCATTGCTAGTTCAGTGTCATTTTGTTTCAAGAACAAACTATTAAAACAAACTAGGCCTAATTTGTATTAACAATATCTTTGGATTTGGTCTAAAAGAGAAGCAGATGATTCTGAAGGGAGAATGAAATCTTTTTACGTTGGCGTGAATTTTGTTATTACTTTGTTGCCCAGAGAAGACATCATTTTGGGCGTTCTGTGCATGATTTAGGTCATGTGACTGCATCCGGCACAATGTAAACGGGAGGGCAAAGTGGATAAATTTTATCCGGCACAGTGTAAACGGGGTCTTAGAGTTTATCAATTCTCTAGGGGTTGCTTGTTCTGTTGAGGGGACATCCACCAAATGGCTCCTCAACTAGCATTTGAAACAGTCTTCAACCTTACAACTTTTACTATTAAACTTCAAGAAGTCATTATTTATTGATAAGGTAACATTTTAGCTTTTTATAAAGAGCAATGGGATTTTGTTTGACTCACCTAAAGCATTGCAACTGCAGGCGAAAAAGAAAGAAACGAAAACCAGTGAGCACTTCATTTCAGAACTTCTTTCGGAGCTTCTACAGCATATAATGGAATAAAACAACAATGTGATATATAAAGGAAATTGATAAACAAAGTAAAGAAATTTCTCCAAAGCTACATGAATACTTGTGTTAATTTCATTTCAAACCGTTTTCCCTTCAGCTAAAATACAGTAATAGTTTTTAAAATAAAGTCATAGGGATAGAAGGAAGCATTTTACACATCCTGAGTAATTGCATAAACAACCTGAGTACAAGGCCCACAAAATTTCGAGCCCGTTCAGGCCCTTTCATAGAAATCCAGGCAGAGAAGTGGAGATCCTTCACTTCTCCTGTCCAATCTTCTATTTCCACGATTAAATTTATGTGGCTCTGGCCCGGGGGGGGGGGGTGCTCTGGCTCCCTGGATAGTCTAGTAGGTAATGCTCCTTTGAAAGCAAATATGTTATTGTTTGAAATTGAGCAAACAATCTTTCTTCGATATCGACATAGAACATTCGATAAACGTTTATAGGCTTTCAAATGTGAAATGAAATGCAAAAAATATGAGTTATAATTATGGCACATGTCGAAACGAGCTTGCCAAAATGCGCATGCATATGTATGTACTTCACAAAGGCGTAAATCCCTTTACATGGTGGCAGGGCAATGTTTTGCTGCAAGCAGAAAGCAGGTTTGTCGAAATATGCCAAATATTACCCAGGGCCATCAAGAGGTTTTCAGAGGCCCTGGCGAAAAATAGAAAGAGGAGGCCCTGTATTTTTGCGACCACGCCCAGTGCGTGGCTTGATTAGCTTAATTAGCTTGAAATGTAATCATTTCTTGCAAGCTTTATTCTATTTGTAGGCACACTTTGCTATACATGCTATACTTGCAATTCCGTGCTTAGATTAGAATTCATTACTTTGGTAGACCAGGTAACTTGCCCCCCTCTCGGTGGCCCAGGTAGCCAACCAAAAGGGTATTTTGCCAAAAACTGGGAGCACATCACATTTTCGCAACTTCCATCACAAGCACTTCATCAAACAGGGTTACAAAGACATAATAAACCTTGCTTTGCTATCTGCTACTTGACTGATTTGAGAGTTTGACTTTTTATTCAACTTACAGATCTCCTACATATAACACTAAACATTTAAAGATTGATGTAGCCACTAACCTTGAGAAGCTTCACAACTAGCAACTGCTGCTTCCGTTGCTGTGTGCATTCAGTCAATACTTGAGTGTAGCACAGGTATCAAATTTTAACCAATTTCGCTAACTGATATCTTACAGGAAGTTCGAGCATCAGATTTCTTTTTGGAGAGATAAGTCTAAATTCCTATTGTTTGGGACTATTATTCCATCCATTTGTCTGAACCAATCAGAAAATGTATCATATGGGGGTGTGCATTGAGCCAAATGGAAAATTCACATTATATGACTCTTTACAGCATTTAATCAAACTCATTATAAATCATAGTTGCATCATATAAACCAGACATACGCTGTTTTATCTTTACTCTTTCCTTGAGTCACTTCTTTCTAAATTTTCTTTGTCTTTTTACTCGCAAATAGCGTATTCACATTAGTGCCACGAGTGCTCCTTTCACATATGCGAAGTATTACTCGACGTGAAAACAATAATATTGACTCTAACAGCGCATTTGTATATGATGCAGATATAATGCATATTATTCAGACAAATGCTGGTTCGTCACCCCAACAATAAGGACATTAGGCCTATTAACGGTGTATTAACGGTAACACGTTAAATAACAATTTTGATATGGTTTGTGACCCAGACTTTCTCCACGATGTTGCTCGCCACCTTGAGGATATCAAGTGTAGTACAGTCTATCTTCCTCGAAACAACGCACTTATGTTTCTTGATTTTCCCGGCAATCCGCAATGCATCACAACATGCCGCAATGCATCATGTCATATGACATTTCGAAAGCCCTATGAAATTTTCAACGCCATATAGATTAAAACGACCCTTTAAATATGGATACAAACGACCCTTTATGCCAAAAAGCAGGGATGCAATTCTAACTGACATTTCGGAGCCCAAGTATCCGCGCAAACAGTATTTTTATAAAAATAGAAGGTATGGGGCGATACCTATAGTCGAGTCCCGCTATCTCGAACTCGCCGGGAAATGAAAATTTGTTCGACATAGCGGGACTTCAAGATATCCGGATTCAGGATTTTTTTATCAAAAACGGGCCATCTGTGTTTAAAAGTAGAACATGAAAACCAAGGAAAAGAGCTCATTCGTCTCCAAAGCTTTGTTGAACTTCAAACGTTACTAAACTAAACGTTAATAGTCTATTAATGAAATTTTCTTTATATCTTGAAGTGCTTCTTCATGGCAAAATGGCAAACGACAATGGTTTTGCTTCTATTGCTGGTGTCAAAATAGCAGTAACAGAGAAATACCAATTATCATTCCATTTGGCAGCCTAAGATTGGAGAGGAATTGAAAGTCGTGAAGGAGCTGGACAGCAAAGCCGACAAGTATGCAGTGTGTGTACAGAAATACAAATTTATTGTAGGACATCTAAGGAAAGACAGACAGATTTGCAAAGACAATCTTCTTTCTCATGGTAATCGTGTGAATGAAAATCGTGTTAACTTTGAAGATAGCAAAGGAGTGCAAATCCTTTGCAAGTTAACCATTTTCGGACAACCTAATTTCATGTCAATTTTAAAAAATTAATTATCGTTGTCAGGATAATTAATAGCTGAAAATAGAGAATTTTTTTAGATAACCGAGCTCGAGCTAGCGGGACTCGATTGTTATGTATGTTTAATTCGAATTTAGGAACCTGCATCACAGAATAAGAATTATTCTTCTTCTTATTCTTCTTATTATTCTTATTCTTATTCTGTGCCTGCATAGTGCATATATATTCAAGCGCCACTAGTAGATATTCATAAACTTTATAGTGGAAACTGTCTCCATTAAAAAGCATTTAAGTAGTTAAGAAAATCAGTTTTTTCCTATACGCAGAGCAGCTAACGGTCGGTATAAACCCCGTTATTCCTGAAAAACGAGAAAAGATATTCAACTGATTTTGTTGTAAATAGTAGCTACTAGTATGGTGATATCTGTAATAGGAATTATATTCTGCTGCCACTAATATTTGAGACGGCTGGGAGGTTTTTCTTATCTTCAACCTACTCGCGAACGCGAATCTTAATCTGAATCTTAATCTGAATCTGATTCTGAATCTGATTCTGCAGACATCGAAATGGCCGAAGTGGGGGTGCTGCCAATATTTTTGTCCGGTCGTTCTTTCGGGCAGAAGTATTGCAGCCCGTGCACTGATGTCAAGAGGAACTTTGCATTCAAAGGGTTGCTAAGGAAGATCGTGAACCAGGAAGAAAAATGCCACCTTGTGTTTACGTAGAGGAATTTGATTCCTAGGTAAAATGACATGAGCCAAGAGAAATGAAAACTTTTATTTTGAGTGCTGAAAAGTTTCACTTTGATGCCAGTCGAAACATGTTCCCAGACTTAACAGGGACATAAAATTCGCTATTTAGGGTTGCAAAATGGTTTTCGATGTAATCAGATTTCAAAGGCTTCTTTTCTGCCTAACAGTAGGTGCAAACGATATGATTACGTCACCTATTTGCTCAATAAAACACATTCACTTTTTTCAGAAAAATTTTATGCTCCTGAATAGTGGTTTATCAAGAAATGAGTCCCACCCCCGCCTTTTTTATAGAGGGGACACTTGCAAATTTTATTTCACTATGCGTTTAGAATTCCCAAGACACTTTCGCATACCGAATTGCTTTGCAAAAGGGTCCCCCCGTTGTTTTTAAGTGGGGACATTTTGCATAGTGTCGTTTTGCCATGCGCTCCGGTCCTTCCAGACACTTACGCTTGGGGGGAACGAAACGCATATGACACCGGCATTTAAAATGGCGCAATTACTCTTTATTTTATAAGAACACACTTTATAAGATAAACGAGGCTCGATTTGCCCAAAAAATAAGAACAAGGCTAGAACATGCTCAGCTTCAGATGAGAAATTTAAGAAAAAAATACGCATTTTGAAATTCGCAAGCACTCAACTACTGTACCAACGGAATGGCGAAAAAAACTTTGATGAGGTTTGTCCATAAACACTAGCATTCATTGCTTTATTTTTAAACTTTACCCAGTAAAACGTCTTAGAAACAATATACAGCATGTAACTTCTCAAATATTTGCAAAAAATCACTCTTAAAATATGAACAACTTTAAGAGAATTTGAGCCTAAAATTATCAAAAAATTAAGAACATCGAAAAGGTATCTGGTTCTTATAAAAAAAGAGTGTAATTTTTCTTCGAAG